TTCTGGTTGATGGGAATTGATCTCGCCTACTGCACCCGGCATGGGTATCGATAGAGCATTAAAAAAGTTGTCTGAAATCAGCCGAAAATATGAAGTTTGACATGAGTTATGGCAAGAAACATCCGCGATGATTTTTTGACGATATTGAAAACTTCTGAAGTTGAAAGTTCGAAAAACTTGGAAATATCCACAGTTGATTCAAGGAAATTAAAGGAATCCTTCCCGGAAAAATCTTGCATCCAACACGCATATGTCAGTTGTGATCACTAGAGACAACATACAAAGTTTCACGCACAAAGATTCAGTTTCCGAAGAGAAACAAACTTACAAAAACCACACTCTATGGACAATCGAAGGTAATGGCGCGGAGCCAAAGGCGGGGCATGGAAAGAAGTCCGCCTTGGGGCGGCTACGTATCAGGCGACGCAATGAAAGAATCGGGTTAAAGCGTGCGATTTTGGAGAGTAGAGACAAATCGATCGATAGAATAGGATGGAGTAGAAGTGTGAGATGTGAATGCAATAAGTCAAAAGGCCAGAAAGAGTTTCTAGTGAAGGCACTCCAAGAACGTGTTCGTTTTGGAAGCATTCCCGTCGCCAGCATTTGTGACAGATGTCCGGCGGAACTTTGAACGGGTTTGTTTTTTTCGAATTTTTGCCAAAACAAACGCAATTTTTTTGTTCTTTTCGTTCTTATCGTGAACGATGGGTCCCAAGCCAGTGAATTATGGGTGAGAATCACGAATTTTCCGAGAAAGACTTCTTCAGTGGTTTCAAAGAATATCCGCAGTGAAAGACTCAAGTGATCAAAATGGATTGGATTAGACCAGTAACTTTAACAGAAAAGAAAATTGGAATAATTCCAAAGCAAGCATGTGCATCTCCCCTCCACCCCCTCCCCCTCCCCCCTCGCGCTCCCACTTTTTCACGAAAACTGAACCCAGAAGATTCTTCTAAGGATTTTTGCATGGTTGAAATAATAATTTCGCTCTTCGGCAGAACAAAATGCATGAACTAATCTTCATAATATTTCTCACCTCTCCTGTCGCTGATTTGAGATTTTCTCCCTGGAATAGGTTTCAAATTTGTGTGAACAAGCCTTGTGGTTGCAAATAACAATTTGTACAAGTTCTGAGATGATTCGGTGAAACCTTTCCTGGTAACCTTTTGGCGGATTCGCCTCATTGTTGCGTCTCTCGATACAGCTCCGCATACCCCTCACAGATGAGAAACCACGCGCTTGAGTTTTTCCTTACTCAGAGATGTGTCGAATGTCGAAGCGGGTGGGCCATGGCCATTTTTTGCCACAAAATTCAAACCACGCCGCATAAAAGCCAAAGGTCGGAGCGCACTGAGAAATCCTTACTAGGCTTCGGGGGTAAGTGTTATCAGTGAACTTCTGATTAGCTGGTTGAGCAAAAGGTATCGTAAGGCATGTCCTACAGGGAACATAGTGCGCATGGGGTTCGAGCTTAACGTGGTCCCCGATGGATAGAGGACCATTAACGACGCTCTTTGCAACGTCGGTCAAAAGCGGGTTGCATAGCTGGAGCTACTTTTTTTAGAAAACTATCCATCAGTGAATCCATAAAGAAGTGATGTGGCAGCTTCAGGCTGGAGTTATTAAGGTAGGTCTCTGGTACCTGACGGTGAATGGCAGTATCTCAGATTGCGAGAACAGGTGAGGGCAGTGAAGGAGGGCATGTTTCCATTGTGAGGAGTAGCCATGATGGGAAAATATTCGACCGTAAAAATGCCATCAACAACCAGCACCCCGTGCCGACAAAATGTTGGGGGGATGGACGTTGGTCACAGGCGAATGACGTTTTTGCTTTCCCCCCCCCCTCGGCCGCTGCCGGGTCACGTGGTGACGGAAACAGAAGAAAACTGTCGAATCAATTGAAACGGCACAAGGTTTGCGTCATTTGGGGGCTCTAGAATAGTCAACACTGCGAGTGAGGAAGTACTAGAACGTAGACCTTGGTCGTTGACCTGCCTATGTAGTCGACGGGAAGCTTGCGCCCGGACGAGGAAGGCAGAGACGAGACGCGGATCAGCGGGAAAGCTTCGCTACGGGTGCGGGGGTGTGAAATTTAGCATAGTTAATAGATGTACTGTAGTAGTCCACATCGAATGCAGCGCGGGCGACTCGTGCGATGTATCAGTCGCGTCTAATGCCGTCGCGAGGCCTATCTGATCGGTACCCGAATTTTAGTAAAATCATCAGCTTGTTCTCCGGCTAGAGCTACTTACGGACTGGAATCTCTATTTTGTCAGTTAGTGCCAATTGCAACCGCTCGTCCAAGGCGGGGTGATGGAAACCATCAGGCGAGGGCGGTGGCCCTTCGTTGTGTTGCGGTGGCTCGGGGTGCAATGTTCAGGGCGGCTGGTGCCCTCACCCGTGAATTGGGTCCGTCTTTCGAGTTGATTAGTGTTTACGAAGTGCCACAGCTGAGCGGGATGCTTAAGGCCGATGTCAGACTTTGCGAATCGCGCGATTCGCTAGCGTCTGCGGTCGCGTCGCGGCCAGTGAATCACTCAATTGGCTGGTACCGCAACGCGACCGCGGACGCTAGCGAATCGCGCGATTCGCGCGATTCGCAAAGTCTGACATCGGCCTAAGGGTTTCTGTTCTTTTAAAAAAGCGGCGGATTCTGCTTTCAAAAACTGGGCGAAATCAAATTGTTTCTAGCCGTTGAAGGGAAAACTCACCAAGGACTAGAACGCTCGAATAGAGCGGTCGCCGAAAATTCCCAAGCCGTCCGCACACGTTTATGTGAGAATTGGCGAGGTTTCTGATAGCGGTCGGATAAAGCTCTGCTGTTACCAGAAGGAACTAAAAAGCAAATATTATAATTCAAAGTCTGAACAGTCGGAACAGCATATTTTACGAACCTGAAGAAATATGCATCCAGTTGTCCCGAAAGCCAGAAGAGTTAACGTGCGCACTACAAGAACCAACTCGGTGCTTTTACCTGAATTACTCAGTGACATGGGTCCATAAAAATTCAACACAAAACATAACAAATTAGCAAGAGCAAAAAGGACAAAATGTTCGGTGGATCTATTCAGTAAGGGGGGCATGCGATTTAGAGCGCTCAACATGCGTGAAAACCACGGTAGCGTATTCTGCCAGTGTAAAACTTAGGGCTAAGCCTCATAAGGGACGGAAAACACCCAGTTTGTCAGCAAGCTTTGTTTGTTTTTCTCCAGGGTGGTAGACTTCCTGCCCCTTCCTAGGCTTGGTCTTAGCTGCTCACTAGCTAAGCATCAATTTTTATAAACCTTTATCTCATAAAACACAAGAACACAGGTGTCAACCTAGTTGAGGGGGACCACGCGGCGCTTTGGCCGGCTTTCTCTGAAGCCTTTGTCGCGGTGCTACGTATTTCAAAACTATTATACTGTGATGCGGCGGAATGGTGAGGGTACCTGTGATTAAGCCTCAGAGTTGTGGACAAGTAGAGCGTCGCGCCGCCGCGGGTCTCCCCCACCCCCCTAACTAAGTTAGTACCAGAACATATACAAGAAAATACAACAACATAAAGAACCAGAAGAAACAACGTAGGAAAAAGCTGATAGCAGTTGTAACTTTAAAGGACTCCTTGAGCCAAATAGGCATTAGAGCAGACTGTGCACCGCAATGTCCCCCCCCCTTCCTTACTGAAATAGACACAGCATATGCTTCCCATCAAGTAAGCCTTCCTACGAAATAAAGGAAGCAGAGATGCTGTAATAGCATTCGTGTGCGAGAGCTCCCAGACAGCACCTCAGGCGCTCAACTGTCCAGCTTCACGGTTGACAGATGTCCTGAGACCATAACCAAGATTTTGTCACCAAAGTGAGCTGCGTCGTTGTTTTAAGTGGTAAGGGACGATATTCTGTCACATGGGGAGGAGTTTACATTTGATTAAGTTGCAAATTCTCAAAAGCCGTAGAAATAGGATCTGATTAGCACTTAACGATTTTCTTAGAAACTTAAGATTTTCTTCAGAAATTCCAACGGATGATGACAAATCCACGAGGAAGCAAATTTTCAGCAAATTTTCCTGCTTCTCCTGGAGCATATATACATTTATAGAATGTTGGCACTGTTTTTTCAGAGATTGACAAATTTGAGCTGGGTCAGCTTGTTTTTGCCACCGTTCATCAAAATTTGACTATTCATGATTGTTGTTACAACTTTACGACGAAATTTTTCGAAATATGTGAAAGTAATTGCTATCCTTAAAATATTTATAGCAAAAGACTTATCAAAAGCATACGTTCATCCCATTTATAGGGGACGAATGATTTCTTTCCAAATTTTGCCAGCGATACTTGATGGGAGCTCTGTTTATATATTGTGAATAGATTTAAAGGCAGGGTTCACGAGTAAAGAAAACCTGTTAGAATTGAGGCAGTGATAGCCATTGGTGCTGGAATGAACAAAGAGTCAAGGGAAGCGGCCTAAAACCCGAGAAACGGAACCCTTTCCTTGAAGTTGTATCGATGCGGAAGTGGCAAGTGGTTAGCCAGTCGGTAGGCGTGCCGCGTAGATAGGGCACGGCCATGATAAGTCGCCAGGAGAGGATCAGAGAGAATAGGAGAAGTCGTTCATGTCACCCACCAGTAGGCGACAGCCTCGGGAATGACCAAGCCAAAGTCTCTACCCTTCAAGGTTTCTAAGCCCTACCGTCCCTTTATTCGGTGACCATGTCGGATTTTGCGCCAAGAAAGTAGCAATGCCAACCTTCTGAGTGAACCCGGAACTTACCTGTGAATTCTATCATAAAAATAGAAGCCATACAAGCCACCACCAACTGACACTGTCACCACGTGCAATCGTTTACGTCC